GGGGGGGGGGGGGCGAGGGAGAAGATGAGTGGAATTGAGATGAGTCGGGCCGTCGTCCGTGCCTCCCCTCTATACGTCAGAGTGGGACCTACGCCGCGCCGGGTAAGGGGCGCGCCCGGTCCTCGACGGAGCCGCGCGCCCCAAACGACCCAGGCGGCGAGTAGTCGTCCTCGAACCTTCGACATGTAGTTGCCCATAGTTAGCGCCCGCCCGCCCCCCTCCGTCGCTTCGCAAAAGAAAAAACAAAATACAAACAAGCAAAAGAGTTTAAACAAAAGAGAAGGCCAAGCCAAAAAACGATTGCGTAAATGGCGTCACAAAGCCCGCCGGTTTTGATCGACAATCGTGAGATTGACCGCCGTCGACCAGAGAATTGACGGCAGCATGCAGACGATGTGCCAACTTGCACGGCGCTCGCGCCGCGCCGGCTGGCTCATCGAGCGCGCTCTCTGGCTCCGTCCGGGCCACGCGCGGCGCCGCGCGTGCCTCGCGCCACTCGCCTCGGCTGGCAGTACAACGCCAAAGCCGCCTCGCAAACACCGCGCACAGCACCAGCATGCTGCCCACCAGGCAGCAGAGTGCTGCACCGGCGTGCAGCGGATGCTGCGGCGCTGCGGCGCCGCCTCCCCGCCCTGTCCACGTGACCCAGGCGCGAGAAACGAATCTGCGAGGCGTGGCCGCTCATGCGGCCCGATGGGGAGGAACGGGGCGAGCCCCCTCCAACCCACCCGCGCTAGGTCTCGGGTTTGACGCATGGGGTCACTCCCGCGAAACCCGTGAACTAGCCGGGGCAGTCGGAGAAGGGGCAACTCCGTGCACTGACGGTCGGCCGTCAGAAAACACGCCTCCGTGGCTCGGGTTACACCAATCCTCGCTACCCAACGCGGCCAAAGGATATCCACCTCGAGAACCTCGAGAGAGAGGCAACATCGTTTTTCTTAAAAAGCTCGCTGGGCGACACCCCGGCTGGGGTGGCGGCTGGCGATCAGGCGGCTGGTGGCGGGGCAGCGGCTGGCGGCGCGGGCCGCGGCGGCGCGCGCCCCGAAGAGGCGGACGGCGGTGCCTGCGACGCGCAGGCCGCTGGAGGTGGGTCCGGAGGTGGGACCGAGGGATCCAGTTTGGACCCCTTGGAGCCCGCGCTGCCGGAGAGCGGCGATGGGACGATTGCCGCCGAGGGGGGGGAGGAGGAGGTCGAGGACGGGCGGAAGGCGCCGCGGCGCCGCCGAGGGCGGCGCGGCCGTGGCGCCAGGGGTCGCGGGGGGGGGCTCGAGAAGGTGCCCGACACCGCGGCGGGTTTGGCTGCTGAGCGGCCCAACCAGGTGGAGGAGGTTTCCACCGGCGGCGCGGCGCCGGCGGAGGGGGAGGAGAGCGGCGCCGTGTCGCCCGATTGTTCCCGAGAGGTCCACACGGCCTCCCTTCTTGAAGGTGAGGCCTCCATGACCGCCCGCATTGAGTCGCGCGACCTCGAGTCGCGCGCAGCAGGCGCTCAGGATTCTTCTCTTTCCAGTGCCGACCATCGGGAACATGAAAGCTGGCGGCGCCGCGGCGGGGCGGCGTGGTGGCGGGCGCATTGGGCGCAGCTGAACGTCGGGCAGTGGCTCGGCGTCGTCGAGCCGTGCTGCCTCTGCGGGCGGCCCGGGATGGCGGGCCAGTACGCAGGCCGCTGCGCGGCGCCCTATCTCGCCACCACTGACGATCGGTGGGGGGTGCCTGGCCTGCGCCAGGCATACGTCGCGCATGGCATGTGCGGCGGGCTCTGCCGAGGATGGGGCTGCTGCGAGGCGCGGGGCGTGGCGCAGCCGCAGGATGGGAGCGGCGAGGCGCGAGGCGAGGGCGAGGGCGAGGGCGAGCTAAGCTCGGACGGCGACTCGGACCGGTCTGCGGGAGACCCTGTGTGGGGCTCGGCGGCGCTGGAGGACGAGTGGCGCG